GCTGATCTTAAAGTTCGGATAAAGATCATGGAGAAGGCATGGTCTTGCTATCATTTGACCATCGTAGACATGAAGATAGCTGTCTAGACTGACATTCCTACTGAAGCTCTCCATATCCGAAAACTGCTAAAGGGAATGACCACCAGATTACAGGAGGCAAAGATTAAATACAAATGGATCACTCCAGCAAGTTTGTTAGTTGTCTATTAGGGAAAATATTTTGGTGCTACAGATAAGGAAAGTGGCGTTGCTGTACTGCAGTCCTTAAACTTCGAAGAAATCTCTGAGCAGACACAAAAGACATCTAAATGTAAACAAAATCCCAGTCATGACTCTGTAGGCTATGGACATTTGTTTGGAGCTACGTAGCCCTGTCTGGTGAAAGCTGGTTTTCAGGTTTCGTCAGCTCGCCGAGGGTGTCGCGAGGAAGAGTGGGATCCAGGGCTTGTGATTTTTGGGAGCTGAAGTCTGAGTGTGTTCTCAGAATAGAGGGACAGAAGGGATCTAATCACCCCAAATCCTCTTGTCTCTTTTCCTGGCCTCTATTAGTGGGGCTCTCCTGTTTTCTCTCTATACCAGTCCCTTTCACATAGAGGTTCCAGGTTCTTCCTTCCCGGTCAGCTCCGCCTTCCCTCTTTAAATCTCCCAGCCCCTGCTACCACCCCTGCCTCACGTACTTCAAAGGAACACGGCCACAGGGCTAGCCAATTCTCCAATGTGTATCTCCCAGTTCCATCCTTATTCTTCTCTGTCAGACCATCTTCTTGGGGTTTGCCGTCCACTCCCCCCACCTCATACTCCCTTCATGGATGTGCTTCCCTGAGGGGGTCAGGTGAGTAAGATTCCTGGGCCACCAGGCCATACCCCCACAGTTTTTTTTGCTCCAGCTTGTCGTTGGAAGACAGGGGTGACTTGCTTTCCACAGGGTGTGCTCTCCCCGGGTGGTCTTATCCCTGGTCTCCCTGTTCCTATTAGTGGATGCCCTTCTGTCCTTCCTGGCCTCTGCAAACTGCTGGGGCCTGGTTTAAATCTGGGATAGGTGGCTCTGAGTCCACCTCCAGACACTGATCTTTGGACAAACTTTATGAATTCCTAAATAGTATTTAAACACTTAAAAGCACTACATGGTTTGTGTAGAAACATAATGGTATAGATAAGTTAAGCTGCGCAGGGAGTGGGGATGGGGAGAGTTATAAGGAAAGGGTAATCAAAGCTCTCATTGGGGTTTAGACTGTTACTTTCCTCATCTGGTATATTTTTTTTGGTTGTATAGCAAATCCTTTAGTTTTAAGGGACTGACGGGTAAGAGTCAGATGAAGGGTGGGGGTGGGTTACAGTGTGTGGTATTGGGCAACAAACTGAATATATAGGTAGTAGTTTTAATATTTGAAAAAGAACATTTAGTGGGAAGGGAGTTAATAGTATAAGTGAAGTTTGTAGAAAAAGTAGGCTATCCATTTGGTACAAAAACTGTGAAATAATAATGGAGTAAACATATTGTAAGTCTAACTAGAATATAGCAATGTATTTAGCACCTTAGAAAGATTATAACGAAAATGACACCCAGATATAAAGTAAGTTTTTTAAATGTATGAGGACTAAATAACAGTAAAACAAAAAAGAATCACCTCTTTCATATTAAATTCTATTTTGATATTTTGATGTTGCAGGAAACACCTACCCAGTACTCAAAACTACATGGTTTTCGCATCAATTTCAGGCTAGTGGCAGGCCTGTAGCTAACCCCTGTTTTTTGTGGGGGCCCTCCCCCAATCCCCAGCTCCACCTCCCTCTGCCAGCCCCCTCACCGCTGATCGATCTTCTCCCCCCCTGGCTCTAGACAGCTGGGCTCAAGGCAAAGACAGCCCAGGCAAGCAAGTGGATGGCGGGGTTTGGCCCTGGGTCGGCTTTCACTGGGCTGGACGGGGTCTGGTCCGGTGCTTTTCGCCGGGCACTGCGCAGGTGAGTGGTGAGCCAGGGACTCTGACCTGGGCTGCTGGCAGCGAGGCGATTTGCGCCCACCATGGGTGGGATGAGGTGGGAGGGAGGTTATCTGTGCCACCCCTATGAGGAAGGCCAAGGCTGCGGGGAGGGGGACCGAGCACTTCTCCCAGTGGTGGGGGACAGGACTCAGGCAGGCTGGCGCAGCAGGATGTGACCGGGCAATGAGGGGTGGGCGGGGAAAGTGGCCAGCAACAACCAGCCTCCAGACACGGTGTGGGCAGCTTCCGCTGGGTCCTACCTTCCGTGCATTCCCAGCAGGCAGAAGGGAGGCCAGCTTGGCGTGGGGGGCAGGCAGGGGGGTCGGAATGGTCAAGAGCTGGCTGGGAAAACAGACAGGAGGATGGTGGGGGTCATAGAATAGCTTCAGTATCCCACCCCATCTCTTTGGAGAATCCAGGAGGAATTCTTTTAGGAGCAACAATGGGAGGAGCTGCTGGCTGGAGGCACCAGGCCATTCCTGTCCCGTCTGGGTAATGAACAGGCCACGCATGGCTGGGTGGGAGGGGACAGCGAACCGCTCGCCCCGTGCACCTCTTCCTCCTCCCAATCTCTGTGTGCCCCCCTCCCTGGGCCACGACGAAGGACGGGTGAGCCGAGACCACAGGCACAGTCTTGAGGGCACCACCGCTACTTCCTTCTCCCCAGCCTTATACTCCCTCACCTGCCTCGTCCAACAAGGGAGCAGCACAAGCCAGGCCGCATTCCTCGACCCAAGCCACTAAGCAGCGCCTTGTTTCTTCTCCCCCCTCACCTGGGTTAGCTGCCAGCCCCCCCTCGGCCCCCTCCCCCCAAAATCCCTAGCTACGGTGCTGGCTAGTGGTACCTCTAAGGCATGGGGAGTAGCAGTTCTAGTAGCTAAAACTCTTCACTTTCTCTGCAAAGAGGCAAGATATGACCCCCTTGCTCAATATGTTATGGTGAAAGGCACCCTGGATGGTCAGTTAGTTACAATTGATTCGGTGTACTCTTCTAACACTGCTCAGGCACAATTCATCAATGAGACTTGAACTAAGATTAAGACTTTTCAAGAAGGCATCCTGATTCTTGGTGGTGACTTACTTGTACATCACTAGTTAGACAAATCTAGTTACAAAACAAGACCAATCAAACAAAATAAAGTAAAATCAGATTATTTGATCTTCTAGGAAAATACCAACTATGTGGTAGCTGGAGACACACTCATCAATCAGAATGGGATTACACTTTTTCTCTGCTAGATATAACTCACAAAGTAGAATAGATTATGTTTTGGTCTCCACTGGTAGATAATATTCTTGGAACAGAAATTGGCCCAATATAATAGACAGACCATGCGCTGATGGATTGTTTGCTCAAAAGTTTTGACACAAAACCTGGGCAAAAGCACTGGTCTTTAAACAATTCTGTTTTATTGCATGACAGTATTAAAGAAGAAATTGCACAAGAAATTGATGATTTTTTAAAAATAACAGTTGCGGGGTAGAGCCTCCCATCACGTGGTATGACCTTAAAGCAGTTACAGAGGGAAAGTTGATTGCTGTAACATCCCATCTGAAAGTTGATTGCTGTAACATCCCATCTGAAAAAAGGAAAAAATACAATTAAATCACTCATAGAAAGAATCAAAGAATTGGAACATCATAAAACAGGCAGTAAAAAGACATATAAACATTACTAGAAGCCACAGAAACCTCCTTGATACAAAGGAAACTGCTAGTCACAAAACAGCAATTGTGGTAAAAATCACAAAAAACTTTGAAAATCTTGTTTTGGTGGGTTAAAGAGTGCAAGGCAGCAAGGAGAATTTTTACAAGTAGAGATGATTTAAGAAAGCTACATTTTAAATCAGCAGAAATAATTCATTGTATGGCTAGATATTACAAAAAACTTTACTGCATTACTTTGCCAGATGAACATGAAATAAAAAAATATCTAAAGGAATCACATTGCCACCAGTGAGTGGAGGGTGGGGCCTGGAGAGAGAGAGCCACCTGCGCCCTGTGCGGGTGTGCCCCAGGCAGGGTGGGGGGATTGGCCCTGCCCAGTAGTCATATTGCTGGTGGGTGGAGGGTGGGTCCGGGGAGGGAGCTCCACCCGCTCCTGTGCGGGTGTTCCCCAGGCAGGATGGGGGAGTCGGCCTTGCCCAGGAATCACCTTGCCAGTGGATGGAGGGTTGTCCTGGGGAGACAGTGCCCTTTGTGGGTGTTTCCTAGGCTGGGTGGGAGGTTCTGCCCTGGTTGGTGATCCCATATCCCATTGCCATTTAAGGGTTAATGGGCCCTTGAGGAAGAGCACCTGCCGTCCCTGTCACCTTCCCAGGCAGGGTGGGAGGCTGGGTCCCAACCAGTCCTCATGTCCAAAGGGCTGGGTGGTTGGCCCCAGGAAGACAGAGGCACCCGCAATCGTGCAGGTGGTCCTCGGGGAGGTTCTCTGGGAGTGGGATGCCCGGAGCTGAACCAATTCTGCTCTGGACTGTCTGAAACCATCACTGGACAAATTCTCCAGAAGTGGTTTCCCAGGGGGCACCGGTCTTGGGGGGTCTGCCCATGGAATTAAGATTGGCCAGGAAGACCTCAAAGTATCATTTGCCGATGTGATGGTCCCAATTATGGGATCCTTTTGTTCTGGGAAGGATCACAAACAACCCTCTCATGTCTCAGTCAGATAAATATCAAGAACGATTTATAGCAATTTGGTTTCCTGTGATGGAATATTTAACAAAAGAAGAGGTTATTCCTAAAAATCTGCACTATAAAGACTTGCTCTATTTTTGAAACTATATATAAGTGAATGGGGTTTTTTTTTGAAAGCTTAGCTTATTTAACATGACTCACTGTTGTTTTGTTGACCTATCTTGTGATGGTGTATTATGATGATTTACAGCTTTATTCATTAGACACACTGTTGTATGAGGAAAACTTGAAAAATAAAATATTTTTTAAAAAGTATGTGTGTCAGTGACTAAAGTACAGAAAAGAAAAAGGAACTATTTTAAAAACCATTTTGCCTCCTTTTAGGTGATACTTTGACCTTGCTGAAAACTTACTTTGAAGATTCTGAATGAACATTCCCACTACTCTCCGACTGTCTGAGATGGCAAGTCCAGCAATCAGCCCAGACTCCTCCTCCCATGATGCACTCTCTTCTGTCAACTCAATGCCTGCATGTTCCCCCACATCAGATTCTGAGAACCTGAGCCCAGATGAGCTGGAGCTTTTAGCAAAGCTGGAAGAACAAAATAGGTGAGAGGTCCTCTGACTTGCTTTATTAGTAATACATGTGGTATATTGACCAAGTTGGATATAATTTTGCCATATTCTGTGCCCAGGATGATATAACTGGAAGGAATAGCATACCTAATCCAGATTCTGGCGATACGTTATATTGTAGGGAGAATAATAATACATTGAGATTGCTAACTATAGCCATGTCCAGAAAGTGAATCTGCTTTATGGACTGACTGACACAGGCACAAATAGATGGTGGTGTAGAAATTAAGTTCCTACTGGACTGTCCCAAAGGCTTCATCCCATGAGTCCATAGGAGCAAGATACAATCAGCATATTTCATGTGTACAAAAAGTATTTGGGGATGGGAGCTAGGAAGCTGAACTGTAAGGCAGCCAGGAATATATTGACACAATGTGGAATTTTGGGGCAGAGTTTTGGGATGTTAGTAATACCTTTGATTTCATGTGTAAAACATGAACAAGTTTTGGGATGTTAGTAATACCTTTGATTTTATGTGTAAAACATGAACAAGTTTTATTTACATGTCCATTTTATTATAGCTGTTTAAGCTGCAAGCAGCAAAGTGAGAAATAGGTGAAAAGTCAGCAATAGTTTGTCCAAGAGTAAGCCAGACTCCTTATCTGAAGAATTCTGCTATACTGTAGTTAGTGAACAGGTTTGCTTGTTTTTTGTGAGTTAAGGTCTAAATTGAATATAGCTGGGGAATTACACTAAAATAACTTGCAAAAGCAACAGAATCCAGTTTGCTCCAATTTTCTTTCTGGTATTTGAATATAAATGCTCTCTTCTGAAGAGAGGATTTAATTTAGAAAGGGAGAATGTAGACAGTTTGCAAGAACATTAGAAGATCTTTGCCACACCTAAGTAAAGACTCTTATACATTCTTGCCATTCACAGTAGAATCCTAAAAGTTCATCTAATAGGGAATATGTGCTTTGACTTTTCTGATGCAGTGTTCATTTTAGCGGCTTTTGCAATGGGACAAACAAGCTTTCTTACGTTTTTTGTACATAATGATAACTAGATCCTCCTCTCCATCAGCGGTGGAAGCCATGAAATGTGCTTGCATCTCACAAAGTGCTGAGTACAAAATGACTTCACTTTCAGCTTCGGTTATTAGCTCTGTGTATATTTCTGCCCATATGACACTGCCCCCTCACTGTCATTTTAATGATAGTGTCATTTAAGGTTTGGGTTGAAGTTTAATCTATTTGGTTTGAAATTTAATCTATTTGTAGTGATAAGAGTACTACTAACTGCGGTTGGTATCTTCTAGGCTTCTTGAGGCAGATTCCAAATCTATGCGTTCCATGAATGGTTCTCGGAGGAACAGTGGGTCCTCTTTAGTCTCCAGTTCTTCCGCCTCTTCCAATTTGAGTCATCTTGAGGAAGATACTTGGATTTTGTGGGGACGGATTGTCAATGAATGGGAAGAATGGCGAAAAAGGAAGGAAAAGCTGCTGAGGGTGAGGAACATGGGTGTCTTTGGAAACTGGTATATTTCCCTTCCCACCACTTGAATAAACTTCTTGTAATGTTTTTTCCAGATCTGTACCCCTACATCACAATAATAGCCAGAGTGTCTAACAATGTGGAGAGTTTTAAAAGCAGACAATATTAGAACATGTGCCTTTTAACAGGGGAAAAGTTGTGGAAGGAAAGAAGTACACAGAAAGGTGTGGTGCAGTAAGTATGTAGAGGCAAGGAACTGGGTGGGAAAAAGAAATCCAGTCCCAACAGCTGGCTGGTTAAACTACCCAAAGCATCAATATTTAAAGAAGAAGTTGTTTAGACTTCCAGAAGAACTTCTGAAAAATATATTCAAGAAAGTCCAGATTCAGAGGCTCTTTGTCTTCAATATGCTGCATTTATGATAAATTTAGTTGGAATTGATTTAATTATATCTGGTCTCTGGCTCATGCCAGAGGTTTAAAATTGACATTTTTCTTGGGGTACAAAAAGGACTTGGGCTATGGAACTACCCCATGATGTCATTTTTTCCCATGTTTTGTCTTTCCTCAGGAGCTGATAAGAAAAGGAATCCCCCACCACTTCCGAGCCATTGTTTGGCAACTTCTGTGCAGTGCCACAGATATGCCTGTAAAGAATCAGTATTCAGAACTACTGAAGATGTCCTCTCCTTGTGAAAAGCTGATCAGGAGGGACATTGCCAGGACATACCCTGAACATGAATTCTTCAAGGGACAGGACAGCCTGGGCCAAGAAGTTCTCTTCAATGTCATGAAGGCAAGTAGGCATACCTGGTAAAACTTGCATTGGTAATTATCATTAAATTTTAAAACTTTGTGTGGATAGAGGGATTTTCATGTACTTGTGACTCAACTTCTGGTCAACTTTCTAGTTGATATGGTTCTTCTGAACTCTGATCTTGCTTTGGCTGTTCATATCTCCTTGGTTTATAAAGTGGACTAGAATGGGTAAGGTATTGAGAAGTGGCCTTGGAGATGTAGTTAAAAGCACATAGTTTGTCAGCCTTGAGTGGTGAGTGGGGGAGTAGAATAGGGTTGCCAAGTTGAACTTACGAAATAGCGGGGGGAGTCCTGTTCCTCCCCAGGAGTGTTCTCGTGCACGCCATGATATCACCACCCGGAAGTGACGTCATCGCATCGGGCACATTGTGGGCAGGGCCACAATCATTTGAGGGGAAACCAGAGTTTTTCCTCAAATGATAGAGCGTCCCCCGGTAACGTGCCCGATGTGATGATGTCACCTCTGGATGGCATCTTCCTGCTGCGCACGTCGCACACTTTGGGGGTGGGGTTCCCCTTGGCGGCCCTTTGCATGAGAGTTTTGTATGTGGACACTTTGATGGGATCCACATTAAAACTGGGTAGTCTGAAGATGGCACAACATGCAGTGGTGTCTACAGCTTCCACTGTTATACATCTCTTCCTTGCTTCCCCCCACCCCATGAATTGCTGAAAGGCTGGTCGCAATGAGATTTCACTGTTTGTTGGTCCTCCTAGGCTGCCTGCACATAAGCATGGTGGTTGCAAAACCACTGTACTCAATTGTTATGACTTGAATTTCTAGGACTTTGTCATGGCTGAGGTCATAAGTTCTGGGGACAGCACTGGATACGTGGTTGCATCATTTTTTAAAATTTAGATATTCAGTCACAAGGCTTCCCGAAGAGAAGTGGTTCTGTTTAGCAGCTTGTCCTTTACAATCATGAATGGGAGGATGCTTACTCCTTTGCAGATCAATCCAGGTCTGTAGCTTTAGAAGGAATCTTATGGCTTGTGAGGAACTTAGTATTATTGACCTGAATGGGGTCTGGATAATGGGGTAGCCACAAAAGGAAAGGGGGAAGGGTATTCTCTCTAGCCTAATACCTTGAAGTGAGTCCAGATTTCTCTTTTGAAGAACTCTGTGGTTTGTACAACTGTGGTTTGAGAACTGCAGAACTAATAGCAGTTGATTTTGGAGCAGTAGTAAGGTCACCACATACTACATAGATGCAAACTTGAGCTTGCCACTGAATATGCCCAGCTAGTGTCCCCTTGCGCTTAGGAGACCTACATTAACCTCAAAATGTTCAAGTAAATGTAGGGATCACACTGAATTCCTTGAAAGGATAGTATAAAAATGAAATAAACACACTGAACAGGAATTGCAGCTGATCACAACTCATTCACAATATGTGAAAAAGCTCTGAAACTGTGTGTAGTGCATTTATGTTCTGTGTTTTTTCCCTAAACATGGGAAGACTGAGTGGTTTCTTCAAATAAATATGTTTTTTCTTAGTAGCCATGCTATTCCTCTTCTAATAGTGTGGTCATATGCATAGCTGATTAGGTCTAACTTGGTTGAAATCAATGGTCTTAGATTGGAGTAACTGTTCATAACAATGCACTGTGATTTGGTAAATTTTAATTATATTAAGATGTGCTGTTAATGCAGAACCCTCCATCTGAGTACGGTCTCAGTTACACCTGAATGGAAGTGCTAGGTATTAGCACAGAAAGCATCTCTTGTTGCAGCTGAGATACTGCAGAGGTGTGGCAGTTCAGGGTTTGATTACCTTCATCCTCTTAAATGTTGTGTACATAGGATATAATGTTCTGAGTTATACAAAAACAGATTGCAGAGTTAGGCTTCAGTTGTCATAGCCTTCAGATTCAGCAAGATAATGTGAGGGTGGTAACGTTTTGTAAATTTTTCAGCTGTTTGGTGCTTAGAAGCTGCATTTCATCGCTCAGTTCCTCTTCCTTATTCCCTGCCTTTCATTCCAGGAACGCACAACTTGGTTTCTTATAGGAAGTATTTATTTATTTATTTATTCGATTTATACCCCACCCTCCCCGCCAAGGCGGGCTCAGGGTAGCTTACATAAAATGCATATCTAAAAATACAGTTAAAACATACTTAAACAATCAATTATTCATTTTCCTAAAGTGCAGGATCAATTAAAGTGCAAGAGCAAAATTCCCAGTTTAGATTGTACCACTACTTCGGTGTTAGTCCTGATGGCATTCTCACAACGGCTCAGTTTGATCGAGTAATTTATGTGATGAGCCAGGCTGCAGGTGGTAGAGCCAGGGCACAGGGTCGTCACTCCTTGGTGTTTAAGGCGGCTCCTAATCGAAGGCCTGGTGGAAGTGCTCCGTCTTACAGGCCCTGTGGAGCTATGGAAGGTCCCGCAGGGCCCTGATCTCCTCTGGGAGCTCATTCCACCAGTGTGGAGCCACCACCAAGAAGGCCCTGGCCCTGGTTATCACCAGCCTGACATCCTTGGGGCCTGGGAGGGCCAGCTGGTTTTGGGCCCTTGAATGCAGGGCTCTCTGGGGAACATATGGGGAAAGGTGGTCCCTCAGTAGAGATAACATTGTGTGGTCACAAACTGCGTGTCTGTTCTTAGCCATGGACTTGTACATTTTCTAGATTTGTCGCTTTCTTATTTACTTATATTCTGTAGTAATGAGATGGCTGCTGGGTGGCTGAGCAAACATTTTGAGTTCCATGATGATGCCTCATAATGCTCTCTTTATGGCTAGGTGTGAGCTCTATGTAATACTAGATGTTCTTTTGCTTAAGATTCTGTCTCTTTCAGGCTTACTCTCTAGTGGACCGTGAGGTTGGATACTGCCAGGGCAGTGCATTTATCGTTGGACTGCTTTTGATGCAGGTTTGTGTAACATGATGTCAAATGACTATGCAACCCATGTGCTAATTGCCCCTCCAAAATTCTAAACTAGTTATATTATTCTTCGTAAGAATTATAAATCTGTTGGTTACTCCAGTGTTGCTGTTAGTGTTTTGTTGAATGCTAGCAGATTGTATTTATTGCCTTGGTAAAATAACTGCTGTGGTAGTATGCTTCTGATGCACTAAAGCTTTTAGTATTTTTAAATCTTTCTAAATAGAAGCAGAACTAGAAAAATCCCCGACACCTAGATATATATTGCTGGTGCCTGGGAATCTGAATATTCATCCTGTTGTAGGGCTGACTTCTTCTGACATTTCCCCTCCCTTACCCAGGCTATAAGAATGTGGTTTGTAAGCGCATTAAGAGTACAGTTTTATTTTATTTCCTTAAACTAGAAAGGAAATGTCATCTGGGGTTTTAAGTGGGTCTGTTCAAAATCCATTAATCACTCTTTTGTAGTCATATTTTGTATGAATATATTTATGGAATTAGGTAATAAAGTGTTAATTTCATGATAAATTGGTTACTTTGAACGATGATATTGTGTACATGCCAATGTAAAATGGATAATTGACATGGGAGAAACCTTGCTGGAAAATTCATAATCGTTTTGCTACTGCAAGGAAAGCTAACACTGTTTTAGGTAACACTAGAATTACCTTGCCATGACAAGTAAAATAATATTTCTTACATCAAGCTAATAGAAGCTCATTTGCATTGTGTGTGTAACTTGTGACTGTAGCATTTTCAATAGTCAAGCTACTTCTTTGCGCACTTTTGTCACGTGATGACTAGTACGTTCTCTATTGAAGTAGCTCTTAATGTAAAACATCTTCAGATTTTGGTTCTTGATACAGAAGAATTTTACTTTTATCCCTCAGTGGGCTTTGGAGAAGCTGATGCAACTATCTTATCTGACTCTAGATGCCTGAGGAAGAGGCTTTCTGTGTATTTGTACGTCTGATGCAGGAATATAGATTACGGGAGCTGTTCAAACCCACTATGGCTGAGCTGGGCCTTTGCATTTACCAGTTTGAGTACATGCTTCAGGTAAATGAATTCAGATCTGAAAGAAATTCATGGGTTTCATATGAAGCTGTGAATTGCTTGTATATTTACTTCATGCATAATTGTACGAAGGCTAAAATACAAGAGCATATTGCTTTGGGGAGAACTTAGGGGTGCTAGTTTTTATATTTTACCTGAAGAAGACGAGTAGATTTTTATACTCAGGTTTTCTCTACCTTAAGGAGTCTCAAAGTGGCTTACAATCACCTTCCCTTCCTCTCCCCAAAACAGGCACCTTGTGAGGTTGGTGGGGCTGAAAGAGTTCTGAGAAAACTATGACTGGCCCAAGGTCACCCAGCAGCTGCATGTGGAGGAGTGGGGAATCAAATCCGTTTTTCCAGATTAGAGAGCGCTGCTCTTGACCAGTGTTCCCTCTAAGCTGAGTTGGTGTGAGCTAGCTCACAGCTTTTTAGCCTCCGGCTCACACATTTTTGTCTTAGCTCAGGAAGGATGGCCCCAGAGCAGACTAATTTATGCAGTAGCCAAATCGCTCGCTCACAACTTTAATGCCAGTAGCGCACAAAGTAGAATTTTTGCTCACAAGACTCCACAGCTTAGAGGGAGCATCGCTCTTGACCACTGCACCATGCTTGCCGTCCTTGGCCAAGGCTCTGGATTCTCGGTACATTTTAGGGAGGCTGGAATCTCTTGTGATTGTAAGGGCTGTGTCCTGTGCCTTTTCAGGAGCAGCTGCCTGAACTGAACATCCATTTCCGCTCCCAGAGCTTCTTAACATCTATGTATGCTTCGTCTTGGTTTCTCACTCTCTTCCTCACCACCTTTCCACTACCTGTGGCCACTCGAGTGTTCGATATCTTCATGTATGAGGTAAAATATTTGATCTAAGCCTGGGAGTGGGGCATAAAGTGGGAGAAAGGAGCAGGACTTTTTTAGCTGACTCAGTATTAGAAATAAAACTTTAAGGAAATTTTGAAACAGTGAAGAAAAGCTGTTATTTCTGTTGAAGGGGGGTAGGAATTTAGAGCAAAACAAACATATGCAGTATTTCCTTATGAAACCTAAACCTGTCCTTCTGAATTAACATTAAATTCCTGATTTGTACCTTAGTACAGTTTTATATGCTAACTATTTAGTATTTATGAAAATAAAACTCTATCAATACATAAGAGAGTTGCAAGGTGCTGCACCTTATGCTGTCTTAGCACACATTTTTGGTATCTGAGGTAGAAAAGAAGTTGAAAATAGAAAACAAGAATTTTTTAGTGGTTGTTTGGACAAACACCCTCAATAGTAGCAGCATATTTGGATATTCAGTTATAATACTGAAAACATTGATCTGTTCAATGGAATAACATATATATTATAAGAATATTAATTGTGGACAAATTAGTCAAATTCAAACAAACACATAGCTGCATCAGAACTGTGGTCCATCTGGTCTAGTATAAGGTTTCACACAGTGACCGTCTAGTTGTCCTGCTTGGCCAAACAACATATAGGATGGAAGCACTGGTATTCAGAGATCTGCTGCCTTTGTAGGTGGAGGCTCCCTTTAATCACCATGGCCATTGATGGACCTCTCCTCCATGAACCTGTATCTCCTTTTTAAGGCTATCTATGGTTGTGGCCCATCACTACCTCCATTGGCAGTGAATTTCATGGTTTAATTACTCATTGAGTAAAGGAATACATCCTTTTCTCTGTCCTGAACCTATTTGCCAACAATTTCATTGGGTGCCCCTGAGTTTTCGTATTATGCTTGAAAATGTGTTGTATACACAGGGATTATCATTATTTAGTTCTGTCCTACATAAAAATCTCCATACTGTACATTCTAAAGCAGTAAAAGCATTTAATTCATTCCTGGGTTGTGTGCACAGTTGGATAGGTGACTATGTGGAAAAAGCCAGTTATCCTTCCCTCTTTATAAGGGGAACTCTAGCCTCATTTGTTTTCTCTTTTAGCATAGGAAATGGCTGCTTTTGACAGCTGCTCAAAATCCATCAAGTGCCATTTGGGATGGAGTCCCTCTAAATTCCTCTTCTTACAGGGATTGGAAATAATCTTCCGTGTCGGGATGGCTCTTCTGCAATTCAATCAGGCTGAACTTGTGCAGCTGGACATGGAGGGGATGTCACAGGTCAGCTCTACAATGCTCTGTGGGACTGGAGGTAGATTTGCTAGATGTTACTAAATACAAATGTTCAGCCTCTACTTCAAACTTCTGCACTGAAGTGGAGGTGAGTGGGAGGGAAAATGGAAATCCAGGCTGGCTGAGGTCTGGCCTTGGAATAATAGTACCTTTTTGAAAGATCAGTCTCTAACTCATTAAGGCCTAGCTGATATCTGAAGGCAAAGGCATTTCCCAAATCACCATGGTGGTTGTGTTTTGGTTGTTTTTTAAGTCCGGCTCTCATTTGTTTGCTGGACTCTGTTTAGCACAATTTGTGATGAGACACTTATCACCATGGTTTGGGAAAAACTGTTTCTACCTAACCCCAAGTTTCTAGTATACAAAATATTAGAGATATGAAGAAGCACTCTCAGTCATTGCCTATTGGATTTTTGTTTCTCTGGTTTGAGAAAGGTATTTGGGTGTGTCCCATCGTTATGTGACTGAATGTAAATATTATACATGCTAATAGTGCAGTCTGACTACCATGTCCACCAGGCATCCACAAACTGTGGCTGTATTTGATAGCCAACCAGTTTTTTCTACTAGACATTTGCAGAGTCCTGCAATATTAGCTGTGACAACAAGAAAATTCCTAGCCTAATCAAACCTTACACCAGTTGTGTTAATTAAAAGGAAAAGAATGATTTAAACTTTAAACTAGTGGGAGTTAATTCTAAGTAAACATGCATATGATTGGACTGATTATCACTGAAACCCTCAGGTATTGGGTTTGAAAAAGCTATTTATTAGAAATCAGTAGTCGAACTGTGAATCCATTAATCACTGTTAAAGTGGCTACAAGCCCAGAGCAGTGACAAAAGAGGGAAGAGGGGTAATTTCAGCCTCTTCCCCCTTCCAACTGGAGCTTCCTGCCTTCAGTTGTTGTTAGTTTGCATAGGTCTCATGAACCCAGGAATCAATTTTCTCCAGGGGATAAGGGACCATGGGAGAGACCTGCAGCCATCAGCACCTTCCCCTGACTGATACCTGGCTCCAACCCCACTGAGAAGAACGTTCTGGGAGCCTTGTCAGCTTCTCATTGTAGTTATTCCCACACATCTGTTCTGCTTCATTCAATAGTTCTGAAGCAAAGTGAACAAGTGAAACTTTAGAAGTGACTATGACACTTGGAGAGGCAGTTGGAGCCCCCTGTTTCCCCAGGTGAGAAGAGATAGGGCAGCACCAGGGTGGTTATTGGGAGTGACTTGAGTGGTTAGCCAATAGCAAGATATGTGGGTTGGCTTATCCATTTTTCTGCTTAACCAGGGTTACTGCTTTACACTCCTGGTGAGTAGGAATTTAAAAGACTGATATGAGCTTCTAGACTTCAGGGATGCAGAGATAATATGTGCAAAAATACTGAACAAGTAAAAAGCTGGCGAAAAATAATTTTTACTACATAATTTTTAATGTGTCTTTTAAAAAGTCCCCTTGACAGGTCCCAGTTTTTTCCACCATGGGTGACTGGAGAGTATAATATAGTCTTATTCCCACCCAACTGTAGGTTAGGCCCAAAGAGGATGCTTTGAGACATTGGCATTTCCGAACTATTTTAGTGAAATTGTGTCATGACAGCTTTTCCATCGGAGCCTGTTCAGAATGATGCTCCAGTATACAGACCTAATACTTTTGCCATTCTGAGATGAGGGAACATTGCGCAGAGTGTGGATTGTATGTAGATTTAGGGAGGAGTTAAGAGGTATGTAGTAGCAACGATTTAAGAAAGTAGACCCATGATTATGTGGCTGAATGTAAATATTATGCATGCTAATAGTGCAGTCTGACGATCATGTCCACTAGGCATCCACAAATTGTTTTATTGATGCTTTCTATAGGTGCACAGTTATCTAGATGGGAGGGGTTAATGTTAAAAATATTTTCAACAATAATGAATATGATACTTTGCCCACCCCTTCTCTTGCTGAGGATGCCTGATCATGATGCTGTAGTTGGTGTAACTAGCTGGGAGTTGGACCCAGATGCTTGTCATCAGAAGGAGCATGTCTGAAGAAAAGCTGGTTGCACCTGTGCTTTCCTTTCCCTTTTAGCCAGTTGTCTTAGGGTGGGGCAGATTGAGGGAAAGAGTAGGGGGAATAGAGCAGGGCATCAGAAAAGGGTTTTGCTGGTAGGGGAATGTGTCCTAGACTCATCCTGAATTAAGTACTGCTTTTTTATTGCACAGTATTTCCAGAAAGTGATTCCTCACCAGTTTGACAGCTGTCCTGATAAGCTGATCTTAAAGGCCTACCAGGTCAAGTACAACCCTAAAAAAATGAAAAGGTGGGTTTCTAAGCTTTCCTCTTTGATGAGTAATGTTGGAGACTCCCGGGCTGGCAAAACTGATGGGATGGATCCGCTAATGACTCATGCTTTCTCTCTTCCTTCAGAGGTTGGGTTTGATAGGAAGATTCACCAACAGCGGCATCAGAGGGACTTTTCTTTTTTAAAAAAATATTTTATTTTGATTTTTAAATCATATACATAACACAAAATAAATATAACAATTTTACAGCACTTTTGGAGCTTCTTATCCATAAATTTCTAACCACCTGTCTAGTTTCTGCCATCACTTCTTGAACACACTGTCAAGTTTTCCCGCAAGTAACATATTTACTTTATCCATTTCTTTCATATCCATAATTTTGATAATTAATTCTTCTCTGTTTGGCAATTTATCAGACTTCTAACATTTAGCTATAGCTATTCTAGCATTTGTAAGTACGTACAGTATCAAGCGTGCATCGTTATAATTTATCCTGTCTGGCAAGATGTTTAAGAAGTATATTTCTGCTTCCAATGGTAGTTCAACTTCTACTATTTCTAGAATGAGTTGTTTTATGCTTTTCCAAAATTTTGCCACTTTTTCACACCTCCACCAGATGTGGTAGTAGGAACCAACATTTCGTTCACACCTCCAGCAGTTAGAGGGACTTTTCTTACCAGAAGGGTTTTCTGTAAATGGGGGCAGATAAGAGCTCCCGATAGTTTGAGGAAAGTATCTGTGCCGTGACTGATACCTGGGATTCCAGGCACAGCTCCAGAGTCAGTAGCATCCAAAAGTTGTGAATCTTAGATGCTAAGTGAGCCTACTTCCAGACGACAATGATTTCCCATGTTTCTTTTTTTAAAACATTTTTTATTGATTTTATTCTCTACACACTACAGGGAATAAGGGTGAGGGATCTTCTAAACTAAAATACAGAGTTAAAAAGGTAAAGGTTCCCTTGCTCGAAAGCCAGTCAAATCCGACTCTAGGGTTACGGTGCTCATCTCCGTTTCAAAGCCGAAGAGCCAGCGCTGTCTGAAGACGTTTCCGTGGTCATGTGGTCGGCATGACTAAACACCAAGGCGCACGGAACGCTGTTACCTTCCCACCGAAGCGGTCCCTATTTATCTACTTGCAATTTCTTGCTTTCGAACTGCTAGGTTGGCAGGAGCTGGAACTAGAGACGGGAGCTCACTCCGTCATGCGGCAACCCGGGTCTGTATGTTCACGTCTGGATTTTTAAAGGAAAATTAGAGAAGATTTTGATGAGCTTGAGAAACAAGCAAAAGCCACCTTGCCAAATGTTAACCACAAAACAAGGAGACAAAGAGTAAGAGAACGGTAAAGAAATGAAAGAAGTGTACCTGATGCCTTAGATGCACTTTCTTCAAGAGATAAGTTTAGGATAAAATCCTTTATTCCTATATTAGATGCACTTGAAGCCAATTTAAAAAGAAGTACTGTGTACAGTGATGTTGCACAATTGTTTTCCATTCTTGCTAATCTGACAACATCTAAGCAAGAAGTTCAGCAAGGTGTTGAACTGTTGATGGAAGCATACCCTGAAGATATTGACCTGAAACTTACTGAACTTTTGCACTTTCACCTCTATGTGAGACAAAGCCATAGGCTTATAGAAGAGCACTCTCTGTCTCATACAGACCTTTATCAAATTATGTACAAGGAAAAAATTCAGATGGCCTTTCCTAATGTGGAAGCAATCTTGCTGCTGTTTCTTAGCTTTATGGTCACTAACTGCTCGGGAGAGAAGAGTTTTCCAAGACTCAAAAGAATTAAAAATTAATTAAGGCCCACGATGTCTCAAGAGAGGTTGTCCGCACTGAGCATTCTGTACATTGAAAGTGGCAAACTTAGACAAACAAATTTTGATGAAGTTTTAGATGATTTTGCTATGAGGAAGGCTTAGAAAAAAAACATTTTTAATCTTACTGTATTTGATGGTTGTAGTTTACTTCTTAATATGTATTTTAAAACTGACTGTTTAATGACAACATAGATTCTAAAAGTGCCACACTGTCAGGTAATCATGATCATATTATTTACACTTCCCAGGCAATATAATTTGTAAACTCAAGGTTTTTCTTTTTTTAAGAATAACATTACAACTTCATTTTTCTAAAAATTAATGCTTATTCCACAAAAGGTTTACAAAGTTCAGTTATTGCAAAAGTTTTTCAGTGTTAATTTTAACCTTTATGTGTGTTTTTTCAATCACTATGGTATTTAACAATAACATCTTATGTCCTTTAAAGGAGAAATTGTGAATTGCAGAATTTTAAATACCCATCATCATCCTTGGCTTCACTCAATTTTGTTTATAACACTCTTCCATTTTCTTCTAGTCGTGAGGGTGGGGGATTGAGAGGGGCCTCACAAGTGGAGTAGCCTAAGGCCTCTCTTCATCTAAATCCAGCCCTGTGCACCCTCCATTAATTTTTAGTACCTCTACAATTATACATCATAAATCATAGCTTAAGAGAATTATATATATATGGCCAGTCAGTAAAACTATTACTTCTGCTTAAGCAGTATCAATTGTACAATCTATGTGGCTGATTAGGAGGAAAATGTAGCTGAAAAAGAGGACTCCTGCTACCAACTTGCCGCACTTCCAAAAGTAGTGTCTACACAGCTAATGTCCAAAATTTTTACTGGTAACAAATACTTAGAAGTATTTGTTTCAAATGAAACTGTTTTCTTGGCCCCTAAGGATCCTCTGTGCAGCCACTGTTACTGATACATTTAATTATTATACTTGAAATTTAGGAAGGTGACCCAGAATCATTTGAGTAAAATTAGGTTGTACTCAAGATTATATTAAACATTCTGGACCAAAGTGGGACAGGGAGGAAATGATTGCCCTTGAATGTGTATGAATGTATTGTTAGAACTGTTACTCTGCTTCAAAGCATCTGAGAAATTAATTCAAAGAGTCCTCTACGTAGTTTTTTAAAAACCGCACCCTGTGAAAATTCTGTGGCCAGAGAATACTGGTTACAATTGGGAAAAATATTTTTGTTCAGTTGCTGGAGGCTTGCTTAAGAAGCAGTTACGGGTTCCTGTCCTCTTTGAGGAGGAGGAAGAGGAGGCAGGTGACAAATAGTCATAGACATCAGATGAGTGTGCTAGGGATTATGTTTTGTTGTGCGTGTCCTTTCTGTGACTTTACCACCTTGAGTTGTATGATTAGGTTCAGTGCCTAAGTTTTTCCATGTCCTCTGAGATTTCTGTGAATTTGTCCTGGCTCTTATTTATTTTTATATCTTAATTTTGACTTTCTGAGAGGTGCTGCTGTGTGCTCAGAGCAGGTTGTTTCAGCAACCTCTGATGCGTATCAAGAGGATAACAACACTGTCCTTGGAGCATGATGGATATTAAAAGTTTTCTGTTCCCTTCTTGCCGCCATGTATGGTCCTCAGGGCAGCTTACATTATCCATCAAAAGTACCACACTTAGAGCACTGACAGGCCACTGGAGGGTGTATTTTTCAATGTCCTCTCCCTAGATGTCAGCATCTTCCTGCTGCTCTGGCTTTTTCTCCTTCAGGGTATGATAGCAAAGGGTAAAAATACCCCCCTTCTTCCATAAGTAAGGTCCAAACTTACTTGGTCAGCATCCAGATACAACAATCTCTGTAAGGCTGGGGCTTCATCTATGCCGGTGCAATAGAGATCCTGGCAATTTCCTCCACTCCCTCTGATGGCCACAACAGTGACAGTTACAAGGAGACCTCAGCATGAATTGGGGTCTAGGTACCACAGAGTACCTGCCAGCTTCCCTCTCTGCTTGCTGATATCGTGATCTGAAATTCCAACCAGTTAATGAATCAAGAGGGAGTCCCAGCTAATTTTTTAAAAAAACTTATGAATCTGGGTACTAGGTAAACAGCTGTGGAGGGCTAAAAACTGAGCATGGCTTGGGGTCATAGAATCATAGAGTTGGAAGGGGCCATACATACCATCTAGTCCAACCCCCTGCCCAATGCAGGACCAGCCTAAAGCATCTCTGACAAATATCCAGCCTCTTCTTGAAAGCTGCTAGTAAGGGGGAGCTAACTACCTCCCTAGGCAGCTGATTCCATCTTTGAAGCACTCTGACCGTGAAAAAGTTTTTCCTAATATCCAGCTGATACCTTTCTGTATGTAATTTAAACCCGTTGCTTCGGGTCCTATCCTCTGCTGCCAACTGGAACAGCTCCTTGCCCTCCTCCAAATGACAGCCCTTCAGATATTTAAGGAGAGCAATCATTTCCCCCCTCAATCTCCTCTTCTCCAAACTAAACATTCCCAAGGCCCTTAGCCTTTCCTTGTAGGGCTCAGTCTCCAGACCCCTGATCATCCTCGTCGCTCTCTTCTGCACCCTCTCGATTTTGTCCACATCCTTTTTGAAGTGAGGCCTCCAGAACTGCCCACAGTACTCCAGGTGTGGCCTGACCAAGGCGGTATACAGAGGGGCTATGACCTCCTGCAATTTTGATGCTATGGCCCTTTTAATACAACCCAAGACTGAATTTGACTTTTTTGCCGCCCCATCACACTGACTGCTCATATTTAGTTTACAGTCCACCCTTACCCCCAAGATCTCTTTCGCATACACTACTCCCCAGAAACGTATCCCCCATCCAGTATTTGTGCTTGACATTTTTGTGGCCCAGATGTAATACTGTGCATTTATCTTTGTTGAATTGCATCCTGTTTGCAACTGCCCACTTCTCCAGAGTATTCAGGTCTTGTTGAATTTTAACTCTATCTTCTTGGGTGTTTGCTACTCCTCCCAATTCGGTATCATCAGCAAATTTAATGAGTAGCCCTTCTATCCCTTCATCCAGATCATTGATTAAAATATTGAAAACTACCGGGCCCAAAACCGAGCCCTGTGGCACCCCACTGGACACCTCCCTCCAATCTGATGAAATGCCATTGACCTCTACTCTTTGGGTGTCACCTACTAAAGGATGCAGTTGAATGCACTACCATTCACATGTTTCCTCCCTCCTGTTCATAATAAAGTATCCTAATGGCTTATGAAATGTTGCAAGCAGAATTGGCTTTGGTTGGTTCATGAGCATCCAGTCACCTATAAAGAAGTCTCCAGTATATTTAACAGCAAAGATGTTTGGGATGGTATGATGCACAAATTGCTGGCAATTCTGAGCCTTGCATGCTAGGTGGGATGGTGGCAAATCTGTCATGTTGCGAAGAGGAGCTGAACACTCATATCTTCCAGTGTTCAGCTCATTGAAGTTCATTGTCTGAATCACTCCTCTTCTTTCAGCCAAGCTCCAATACCCTCAACTATCCTGGGTGGGATTAAAGTTTCTCAGGGGGAAGTAATGTGAAATATTGGAAGAGTTCAGTTTACCTCACAATGTGCCCTTACATTGTTATCTTCCACACAGCTTTTTGTGTAACTGGAGATCTGGGCTGGATCTAGTGCCATAATATCTAGCTTGATCCTTAGGGATATGTCCAGACTCAGGATTTTCTGTAGGGAGGGGAAGGGTTAACTACTTTTCTTCCATTACAGACTAGAGAAGGAGTACACTGCAATCAAAAACAGAGAGATGGAAGAGCAGATTGAAATCAAGGTAAATCCTCCATGGTCTCTCATTCTTGTGCTTGCCTTCTCTATATCTCAGCTATATGGGGTAAACGTTACGAGAGTCCACTATGCTTCTTTTCTCAAGATAGTACATCGTTTTGTTGCCTGTGTCGATCTGTGTTGGTCAGTATTCACACACCATGCAGAAGATTTCTGTTTTGCATCTGCCTGTGAATCTAGACGTGATAGTGCTTCCTCTTTCCTGTTGTGGATAGTGCACAGTTCTTAAAATGCTGCAGTGTCCTCTGTCCTATATATTTTTTTTTTCACAGTTCAGGCAAAAAGCCAAGTGATCATTTATCTTGAGTGCTTTGTGCAATGGAATTTATTTTAGAAACATAAGGAATTCCCTGTTGTTGAACTGTAGAGCCAGCCCAGAAAGGAGAGTAGGGGGTACTACTCCTATCACCCCAGATATTCAAGCGGCTAGTTGTGCAGATGGCTTTTGCTCATTGCTCAGGATTTCAACATCGTCTCCCATGCTGGATGTTAAAAGCTCGTGCTTGCACATTAGGACCACTTGCTAATTTTGATCTTGCTTGCAGAGGCTTCGTACTGAGAACCGCCTTTTGAAACAGCGGATTGAAACCCTGGAGAAGGTGAGAAGTGTACCCAGCCGCTTGAGGACCCATTTCCTCCACTTCCAGACTACTTTGGATATAAAAAATGAAGCCTTACACAGCCACCTGTCCCAGTTGACTATAAACACTACTCAGAGCGCCAGTCATTAAGCTTCACTATACAGTCCTCATAGGGGCCGCTGTAAGAAGTTTGCTAGATCCCCAGTGAATAAAAATTCATTCTCAAGGACAGTAGTACTTAGTTCTGTGACCCTCTTTGTACCCTAGTGACTCGCATCCTGGATACTCTATAAAGGGAAAAAGAAAGCTGCAAAAATTGCAGTAAACAATTAGATCTTCTTCGTGGTCTCTGTGCATCACACCTCTGGGATATAGTGTGCCTGCGCCAACCCCAATCGGTATAATGGAAACCAAAAGGGATTTTCGCGTCCACTCCCTGGTCACGTGCCAGGCTTCACTGCGCATGACTAGGGGAAGGGCACGAGGATCCCGCCAGTTCTCTTCTAACCACCGCGCTGGTAGGACCTCTGTGCCTCGGTCGGTAACGTTTGTTGGCTTTAGGCCTTCTTTTCTTCTTACCTCGATTAGTTAGTTAAGGAAAGTTATTTAATTAGTTAGTTTTTCAGTTTGGATTATCTCCGCCTCAGCGGAGACACTCTCTCCCCCTCCCTTCGGCCTATGACCGCGAGGTGGGGTTTCTTTAAACGGTGTTGGACTTGTGTCAGAAAAATTACCCCCTCGGATGGACACTCTCTTTGTCTCCTGTGCTTCGGGAAATCGCACCATGTTGACTCTTGCTCCCACTGTTCCAAGTTCTCCAAGCAGACCAGGAAAAACTGGGCAGCGAGACTCCATGTGGCGCTAATGGAAGCAGCGCTGTCTCTGGTGGCATCTTCGTCTCAAGACATGGCACGCTTCGATGTCGATCCCTGCATCAGAATCGGCGGCCGCTCTGTTTTCTACATCGGCCCTGATCGACGCCGAAAAATCGGTGCCCAAGCTCCCAATTCAGGCACAACAGTCCAAAGACCATATTCCTTCCAAGATACAGAAGGAGGGCAAGGAAATTCGACTCAGCAAGCATAAGAAGCACAAGAAAGGCTCTCTCGATAACCAATCCATTGACTCCAATCAGGAGCTGGATTTGACTTAGATACCGTGATCTCCCGGTATCGAGAGCCTTCATCAGGAATGAGGGACCCATCCCGTTGTCCCCTCACCACCCTTTGGGCCCGATGATCGAGATTGATCTCCGACGCCACTCCAGCCCCCATCATGGGATCAGCACCAGTGGCAATATTTATACGGGGCTTATTCCTTCCCGGGATCGATGCCATGGATTCCCCCACACACCCCTGTCGAGTGGGATCAAGAATCTGCATCCTCATGGATTTCCCGGTACCGAGACCCTTCCTCGGCATCGAAATTCATTAAATCTCTGCAATTGAGACTGATCGCTAAAGGTTCCAGCCTCCAGTCAGTGGCACTGAAACACTTCCTGGAACCGGCAGAGCTACTGCCTTTGACGCAGATTCTCTAGTCGTCATTCTCTGAACCTTCCCAGCGCTTCCGATTCCCAGTCGGGCGAGGAGAGTCCACAACCACCATTGCAACCGTCCCCACCACAACAGGTCGAGGATGATCTACCCATTTACCCATCAGAGGATGTCAAAATGTACGGGGACTTTGTCAAACATATGGCTGATAAATTGGCTTTGACTGCCACCCAGCCGCCACCGATTGTCACGGACTCCGTCTTCGACATCGTCCAGATGGACACCTCAGCATCGGTTGCCCTCCCCATTACCTCGGTCCTTCTAAAAACAGCTAAGGTTCCCTGGTCTCATCCTTCTTCCGTCCTGGTTTCCAGTAAAAGACTGGATCACATGTACAAGATCCAGGAGTCTGGAGCTGAATTCCTCTTCACCCATCTGAAGCCGAATTCGTTAGTCGTGACCTCTTCGGCTAAAGGCAAGAGCAGCCACTTTACCCCTTCAGATAAAGAAGGAAGGAAGTTGGATGCTTTCGGAAGAATGTTTTACACCACAGGAGCTATGGGGATTAAGGCTGCTAATTACACTGCCTGCATGGAGCGCTATCAGTTTGCCCTATGGGAACAAATGTCAGAACTTATCTCTACTCTCCCGAATGACAGCAGTCATCAGGCTAAACGGATCCAGAAAGAAGGTATGCTTCTGGCTAAGCACCAACTGAATGTCTCCAAACACTTGCTGGACTCCTCAGCAAAGACCCTCACGTCATCAATCGCTTTACGTCGGCATGCATGGCCTTACAGCCAGATACCAAAACCATTGTCAAAGATCTTCCTTTTGAAGGTGACGGCCTCTTCAGCTCCACCACAGACACTGTTCTTCAAGAGCTGGATAAGAGCATCAAGACATCCTGTAGTCTGGGTGTCTCACCTACCACCAAACCTAGCAAAGGCAAACTTTGGACCAAACAGTGGTCCCGTAGACCCTCGTCAAAATCTCCTTCTGAGTCTCACTAGCAAGGATCATCAAGCAGTTCATCTTGCCCTTATATGGGAAAGCCCAAGTTCTCGTCTGCCTCTCAATCTGGATCTAAAGCTCCCAAGACTCCTAAACAGAGTCTTTTATTCCGACTCCATCCTGTCGTTCCCTACTCGTCTAGCTCCCTATCTTTCGGCCTGAAGGCTCATCACGTTGGACCGCTGGGTCCTTTCCATAATCGAGTCAGGATACCTTGTAGGGATGTGGGAAAACTGCTCATGTCGTCGTCATACCTCCTTCTGTCGTCCTCTTACAGGAGGTTCAATCCCTTCTCCTCAGGAACCTAAACTGCCTCATCCTCTACAAAAAATTTTAGATGACAGCGCTACAGACCATCCTTCCACTCCTAAGCCCAAGGACGTGGATGGTGACTTTGGACCTCAAAGACGCTTACTTTCACGTCTCCATTCATCCTACCCACCGCGTCTTCCTCCATTTTGCAGTGAACAACAGACATTTCCAATACAAAGCCCTCCCGTTTGGACTGTCCACGGCCCCTTGGGTCTTCACAAAAGTCATGGTAGTCATAGTAGCACACCTCCACCTCGAGGGCATTCAGGTGTTTCCCTACATAGACGACTGGCTACTAGTGGCAGACTCAGAAGCATTTCTGCTCACCCATGTCAAACTAACCTTGTCTGTCCTAGAATCCTTGGGAATCAAGGTGAACTTACAAAAGTCTATGCTCCTCCCTGCCACGAGAGTGCAGTTCATAGGAGCTATTCTGGACTCTGTCATATGCAAAGCCTTCCTTTGCAGCGGAAGACACTGTCTATCTAGTGAATCACGCGATATGGGAACGGCCACTGTTAAGCATCTCCAGTGGCTGCTGGGCCTGATGGCGGCTACCACCAATGTCATTGTCTGTGCCAGAGTATGCATGCGACCATTGCAGCTGTGGTTTGTCAGGAGGTTCCACCCACAGCGTCATCCCCAATTCCTCCATCTAGTCACCCCACAGCCTGTCCTGCACTCCCTACTCTGGTGGACGGACCTTGCTAATTTCCTAGCGGGAGCTCCGTTTCACCCACCCAAGACTACGCTCACGTTAACCACAGACACGTCCCTTTGGGGATGGGGCGCACATCTCAAGGGTCTTTGTGCTGGTGCTCATTGGGAATCCCAAGTAGCCCACCAGCACATCAATTTCCTAGAACTGTTGGTAGTGCACAACGCACTCAGGTCCTTTCGACACCTTGTGGCTCGGGAGGTAGTCACTGTCCTCACGGACAACACCACAGCCCTCTGTTATATCAACAGACGGAGGCACGGTATCCAGGGGACTATGTCGTCTAGCACTGGAAATATGGGGAAACTGTCTGTCGTGGGGCACGTCCCTGAAAGCCGCCCATCTCCCGGGGACTCTGAACAGGGGTGGTGCATCAGAGCACGAATGGGAGATCAGTTGGCAATACCTCCAGTAGATCTTTCACCTATGGGGCCATCCAGAAATAGACGCATTTGCTACACGCCACAACAGGAAATGTCGTCTGTTCTGTTCAAGAGCAGGGATCGATCCCCTGTCTCTAAGCGATGGTCTCCTTGTCCCATGGTCAAGCATGTACGTGTTCCTCTTCCCTCTGATTCCGCTAATCTCCAGAGTATTAGTCAAAATAATGCAGGAGAAACCTCGTTGCCTCCTAGTGACTCCATGGTGGCCCCGACAACATTGGTTCCCCATTCTGCTCCATCTCTCTAAGGGCTCCTTCATACATTTTCCTCCAGTCATGGATCTCCTCCTTGCCGGGAAGGGGCAGATTCTGCATCACAACATGCAGCTTCTAAAGCTCACAGCTTGGAGGATCCTCTTCTGAAGTTCAAAGACAGGATAGAACATGTCATACTGAACTGTTGTAAGTCATCCACTTGCGCTTCCTATGAAGGGAAGTGGGAAAAATTCTTGTTGCTACGAAGGGAAGTGAAGAAGAAGGAGCAGTGGCATCTTCTGATGAGGACTCAGATTCTAAACTTGGGGCGGCAGCCCCAAAAACAAGTTATCAGATGAGAAAGAAAAAGGATCAAAAATGAATTATCATAGTCTTTAAAACTCTTTATAATATTTGCTAACCATTTCTTATATTGCTTTTTAAGAAGTCAGATCTGTTGGTGTTATTTCTATTATGTATGAAGATATGTTTGTTGACCACATCCAATGAACTTTAATCGAATTTTAAGCTATAAGCTAATTTTATAAGCATTATGTATGACCGCCATCTCTTGGGTTTTTAGTGGTTTTTCTTTACTTTCTCCCATAGTTTGTTGATCCCCTTCCTAATTTTCATTGTAGTTTATAGAAAATGCAATAAAAAAATCCCCTACGGGGCCCAAAAAAATATTCTTGCCCCACCTTATGTCGTTGGAATTGCCACCACCCCCATCCAATCTGATGGCAATTTTTGGCTTTCTATTGTCCCGTTTGGACTTGGGCCTCAGTTGTACCTTGTTGAAGGTCTATTTGGCCGCAAATTTGGCCCATCGCCCACCAATTGAGGGTTACTCAGTTTTTTCCCACCCGCAGGCCAAAAAGGTTCTTAAGGGCCTGACCCACCTTTTTCCTCCATCGCATGGCCGTACACTGGCATGGGACCTGCCCATGGTGCTTAGAAGACTTGCAGACAAGCCTTTCGAACCGATGGCTACTTGTAGCTTGCAGCTCCTGTCATGGATGACAGCCTTTTTAATTGCAGTCACCTCCGCCAGGAGGATGAGCGAACTGTCGGCGCTCCGTTGTGACCCTCCGTATTTGAGTTGGCTCCAGATGTTTCTTTCTTGCCAAAAGTTGTTTCTGAGTTTCACTTACAGGCAGACATTGTCCTCCCAGCATTCTTCCTGTCCCCGTCGAATGAGGAAGAACGTCGGCTTCACTCGCTGGATGTCAAAAGAGTGCTACTCTTTTACCGGCGTCGTACAAGGCCCTTTAGAAAGTCACCGGCCTTGTTTGTCTGTTATGCTTTGCCTTCCCAAGGGAAGAAGCTGTTGTCCCAATGCCTGTCCAAATGGATTGTGGAGACTATTAAACTGTGCTACACGTTAGCAAAGAAGTCACTTACGGAGTTGCTAAGGGCACATTGCACCTGGGCAGTGGCCACATCCACAGCCTTCCTGCGAGATGCGTCACTTGAAGATATCTGCAATGCAGCGACCTGGGCCACTCCTCACGTGTTTGTGAAGCACTACGCCCTTGATGTGTGCATTCACCAGTGTTCAGCAGTAGGTCGGGCAGTGTTGCAGGCGGTGCAGAATTAGGACCTTGGCTCCCTCCTCCAGGTAGGCATGTACTGCTTGCTAGTCTCCCAGAGGTGTGATGCACAGAGACCACGAAGAAGATAAACAGGTTGCTTACCTGTAACTGATGATCTTCGAGTGGTCATCTGTGCATTCAAACCACCCGCCCTCCTTCCTCTCTGCTTTCGGTCCTGTCCTTTCTTTGGAGACTGAGGGTAGTGGTCAGAAGGAACTGGCGGGATCCTTGTGCCCTTCCCCTAGTCATGCGCAGTGGAGCCCAGCACATGACCGGGGAGCGGGAGCGAAAATCCCTTTTGCTTTCCATTATACCGATATAGTCGGCACAGGCGCACTATATCCCAGAGGTGTGAATGCACAGATGACCACTTGAAGATCATCAGTTACAGGTAAGCAGCCTGTTTTTACATTAGCCCTTAGTGGCTTGAATAGAAATAACTGATGCTTTCTGGTCAATTTGAGTTCGCCTGCTCTGTGGTTAATTTGGTTGTACAGCAGTGGAGTCTTATAGCTGATTTTCAACCATGCTGTGCTGTATGCCTCAAATGATCTTGGTGTTTGTCTTTAATATTAAAGACAAGAAAGCCTATTTATTTGACCTCATCTTGATAGAGGGCACCCACCGATAATCTATATGATCTTGGAGGCTTTCCCAGAGACACTACATCAGGCTGTTCTGCTGCATCCTAATAACTGGCTGTTTGCACCTGTCCTAGATCTTTAAACAACACAAATGTGACCTCTTAAATTTAGAGATGGTTTTCATTGCCTTAATGGATGATGTACAATCAAATAGCAATTTGATTGTACATTTGTAGCAATTGCAGAATTGGGCAAATATAATACAATAGATGTTCCATATGGAATCCATATTTGTTTACCTGCCCTTATCACCTGTATGCTTGTAAACAGCAGCACTCTGATCTGGGGCTACTCTGGAATGGGAGCTTTCTTCTTGGGCTTTGTGGGGATCTTTTCTTTCCTGTGCTTCTAGCTCTGGCAAGCGTGCTTGTGTGACCTCTCTGTTATGTCTTTTTCTTTTTCCTTCCTTCCTTGTCTGGATTCTCCTCTTCTGTGTCTCCTGCAGGAGAGTGCTGCCTTGGCAGATAGACTGATCCAGGTATGGTCATCCTTTTTATTTCCAGCTCTTCTGTCTTGGTATTCCATTTCATTCCTCTCCAGAAAAACCACTTGCAATCTTGTCTTTCTACAGTGCTTGGATTTGCTTGACATATCCACCCAGGAGAGAAAACATTAACCTATATTGGTTCTTGAGCTGTCTTTAACTTTTCAGGTGCTCTTAAAGGCCTGTACACTTAAAACTGTATTGTTTGGATTTTACGACATGTGAGAAACGTAGTTCTGCAATCCTATTTTATATAGCCAGAGGTGTAAACTCTATTTAGCTTATGGCTTTCCATATCACGGTTAACATCACAGCAGCCCAATTAGCCTAGGCTCATCGGAACTTGGGAGCTCAGCAGGGGTCGGCTTCTGTCTGTACTTGGATGGGAGGAAGACCACCGAGGAACCCCAGGGTTGCTACGTGGAGGAAGGCAATGGCAAGCCACTTCTGTTCCTCTCCTGCTTTGAATGCCCCATGGTTGGGGCTACCATGAGTTGGTTGAGACTTGGTGGCACCTTCATTATTAGCACCACTGAGGGTTTCTGGCTCCTGGCTGGTTAAATATTTAATCAGGTACAGGAACTCTCTGTGCAGTGGTGGAGCCAGTTACATTTTAGTTGCTGTACGTGATTTTATAATACAGCCCTGTACTGATTTCAGGCTTCTATGACTATGCAGATCTGGTTCAAAGGGAGGGGGGAGAAACACGGCATCATGGTGTCTATTTCTAATAAGCTTCTCTCCTAATGCAGTATAAAGTGTGACTACTTTCCTAACAAGGAGCACTTCCACACAGAAAATCTTATGCAGGCATCCAGTGTGGCATAGCTTTGGAAGAAAGTAAGGTTTATTAAAGCAGGAAGATTTTGAAAGGTTTCAGAGTGAATCCAACAAGGCTGGTATGGGAAAGCAGATCTTGGAAAGGTCGTATTTAGTACCTCCAGGCATGAATTTCATACCATACAACTAGCTCTTTAGAGGACAGTTTTATGTTCAGCTAGTAAAATGAGGCCTTCAAGTTTTGTGGGAAAATATATGGGCTAATAAATCACTTATTCAAGAAGCATTCTGAAAAAATACTACAGATCTCCTTCATGCTTTGCTGTGATGAAACTGGCAGAGTTTTGTGCCAGTCTGTTCAGGAATGCAGAGTAGGTTATGCTGAACAATACAAGCAGCAGCATGTCTCTGACCCACCATACCTTGGTTCTCAAAGTACAGGATTCATGACTGTATGTTGTCTAAGGCCCCTGCAGCTAACTTATTCAAGTGTCATCCTGGACTGACATGACCCTTTCCTCTACACTAAAATATATAGATATATAAAGCTTGGTTTCAACTCTGTAGCCAGTATCCAGATTGGACATAAGGAAGCTGATATTCATGAGTGCTAACAGCTGCTTTTCTAATGGAAAAAGAGACCCAAGTGTTTTGAGCAGAAATCTTCAATAGGGCCAGAATTTGGCTCTGCCATTATTCTCATTCAGTTACCATATATGCATGAAAATAATGTGATAGTTGGATTCTTTCCTGTTGAAGAGCTCTGCTGTGGGTGGTGGGGAAATAAATGCTTTAAAACCTTTTGGCTCTGTTCTTTTGATGGTGTTCCCCATCGAGGTGGCACAGGACATTTCTTTTATGGTACAAACAGATTGCTTAACTTGTTCAACATATAACATTGAACATTTTTTACGAAAGAAATGAAGTTCTAAAGTAATCCAGAAAAAGGACTACTAGAGAGCAATTAGGAACCAAGTTCTTTTCAGTGGAAAGAGCAAATTCTCTAACAGCTTAATCCTTTGCTCTCCTAGTCACACCAAGACTATTGACTAAAGTTGGCCTTTGGGTGAAAACATGAAAAAGATCTTTTAAGGTTTCAAAGGAATACAACTAAATCAAAAACTAAGAAGAACTTCATAAGTATCAGGCATGTGAAACATTTAGTGCATCTGTTTTCTGCAGAGTGCAAAGCAGGTAGTGATTTCTCCCTTAATCCATTCCTACTTGCATTAATCACCCCTGGCCTTTTGTTATGGACCAAGGTCTCCATTCCCAGTCTCACAGGTCACTTTCACTTACATTTTAATGCTTACAATTAAGTTCATGGATTTCTTAATTCGGTATTTTAAAATTTTTGTATAGCTGAATTCTACCCATAAAACAGTCGACAAATTATTTCTATACTCCCGAAACATGCAATATTAGGCTGAGGACTGTTTCCTGTGAGCTTTTTTGGTGGTGTGGTTAAGTGCGCGGACTCTAATCTGGGAGAACCGGGTTTGATTCCCCACTCCTCCACTTGCACCTGGCTGGATGACTTTGGGCAAGCCGTAGCTCTAATAAGAGCTGTCATTGAAAAAGAGCAGTTTCTGTCAGAGCTCTCTCAGCCCCACCTAACTCACAGGGTTTCTGTTGTGGGGAGGGGAAGGGAAAGGAGATAGTAAGCCGCTCTGAGACTCCAAGTGAAGGGCGGGGTATAAATCCAATCTTCTTCAAATAAAATGGAAGAGACCTCAGGTTGGCACCTCTAGCTTGGAAATTCCTACAGATTTGGGGATGGTGCTTGGGAGAGGGCAGAGTTTGGGGAGGGGAAGGGATGCTATAAGGTCCACTCTCTGAAGCTGCCATTTGCTCCAGGGGAACTGGTCTCTGCAGTATGGAGATCGTCTGTAATTCTGGGAGAGGCCCAGGCCCCTCCTGCAGGTTGAAAACCATAAAGAAACCTGAAGATATTTATCAAAATATTGTACAACTTTGCATTTTTACACACTTGTCTGTTGGCAGCTGTATTTACTGTCTCAACTCTTGCTTCAGCAGCTGGGGGCATTTTAAAATAGACTTTGCCCCATGTGGTGTCAGCTAGACTATTCTGGTTGGCTGCATGATGGTCCTACTAGAATGCCAATCTGCAGGAAAAACCGCACTGAAGAAGTAACCAGTTGGGGTGGAGAGGAAACTGCTTTATCTCTGTTGCACATGTGTGCACATATACCTCCCAAAAGAATCCTCATGGCACTGCTTTCTGTTTCAACTCAACTAGTATGTCCAAGTGGGGGACCCATGAGGACTTGTGAGGGGGCATATCATTTCTCCTCCAACACTATTTCTTCTTTCCCTTCCCTTAAAGCCCCCATAACTATCTCTTTTTTTCTTTTTCCTCTCCTTCCCACCCACCAACCTACCTTTTATCTGCCTATTTTCAGCTATATTGATATTTATTTCATTTATACCCCGCCTTTTTGCACAGAGGTGCTCGAAGCAGCTCACATAAGTTTTCTCCATCTTATCCTTACAACAACTTTGTGAGGTAGGGTAGGGTGAGAATGTGTAACTAGCCCAAGGTCACCAAGTGAACTTCCATGGCAGAGTGGTGACCCAGGTCTCCCAGATCCCAGTATGAAACTCTAACCACTACACTACACTGGCTTCTGTGGGGTGGCTGCCAGTGACCAGTAGTAAGCTCTGGGGTGAGTCACTTGAGTTGCATCGTATCATATTGCTTGATGGTTGCTGCCAATGAGTCCTCCCTTAAAGGCTAAAACAGCCCTGGAAAGGGCCCTGTCCCCTCCCCTTGCCTTTTACAGACCGAAACCAAGGTTTGAAGGTGGGCAACACTGTTGTGGTTGCCTAGCAATGGCTACAATGGTCACTGACTTTCTTAAAGCTACAAGGCACTGCTTCTGTTACTTTTTTCAGATTTTTCTGTGAACCTGGAGCTTTTTTCAATCATATAGAAAGATCTGCCTTGTTTGTTCATGATTCCAGTCTCTGGCTTTAAGTATTCACAAATCTGGCCATAGTGAGAATAGTGAGAATTTGATATATTGATTTTTGCACCAAAAATATTTGTGGGAGAACATTTGGTTCAGCCCTAATATTTAATCATTCCAATTGCATATAGTTTCAAGAGTGGTAGGAAGAATATTGAGCTCAGGCCTTATATGGGTAAAAAGCAGTTAAATGGAGGTTACATTCCAAACTAGTATCTCCAGTGCAATACATTTATTAGTTTTCTTCACCATTTCCATGTTTTAGGGATGAGTGTTTACATCTACCTTTGCTGTTCAAATGTTGTGCCCTCCCTCTTTTACAGATGACATTACATCATTGAAATCAATGTGCATAGAGGGGCAGCAGGCACCTATACATGAGTAGGCTCGGTCCTGGTGATTGAGAATGTTCCCCAGGGCTGGAGCCTGTACACACATGATTTGTCAGCATACTTGTGCTGGCTCCCCTTCTACATAAGTTGATTTCAATGTGTGTAATGTCACCTATAGAAAGCTACTTACTAATATGTATCAGAGAATATAGGAAGGGCCCTGCTGGATAAAACCAGTGATCCGTCCAGTCCAGCACCCTGTTTCACAAGGTGCCCAACCAGTTATGATGGAGAGCCAACAAACAGCATAGAGAGGTCAAGTCCCTGTTAGGGGTGTGCGTTTGGTATATACTGAGCCAAATAAATACCTGAATGATTCGGCGTTTATTATTCGGCTTTTATTAGGGTACAGTTTAGAGGAACTGTGTCATGCAGCGACGGCACAACTTGGCAAGTGAATTCAGGCGTTTAAAGGGATCACATCCCTTTACATGCTGATGGGGCTTCTTCATTGGGGGCCCATAGATTTGGACCCCCTGATCCAATCTTTTTTAAACTTGGGTGGGTTAGGAGAGGCACCAGCAGCTGTGCTGCAAATTTGGTGCCTCCATCTCAAAAAACAGTCCTCCAGATACCCCCAGATCAATTCTTCATTATAGCCTATGGGGAATGGTCTCCATAGGCTATAATGGAGCTGAGGGTATAACAGAGTGATATCTCAGCAACTTTAAATGCCTTCAGAGTTCACTTACCCACCTAAATTTTGCCTTTTGCCTGTGGAGTTCACTCACTGTGATGTAGAGCCATGCAGCAGCTTGGTGAAGGCATTTAACAATGGAGGATGAAGGCATCTTCTTCTGGGGCCCATAGAATTGGACCCCCTGATCCAATC